AAATATAAACTCACTAATGGGACACCATTTATGGCTCTTTCTTCCAAGAATCTTGATGGTTTATAAAAGTTGCCATATTTTTCAGACCATTTTTCCAGACTTGTATATGTGTTTACTCCCAACATCTGCCAAAAAAACAATGCCACCACTGCAACATATTGTGAAAATGTAAATGCAAAATACATTTTTTTTATCTAAAATTGTTTATTCTTGCAAACTATATTGCTATTTTTCAATTATAAATATACCGATATGAAGGAAAACTCATCCCAAAGAACAGATGCAATGTCAAGATCAGATGCTTTAACAACAATTTTTTCCTCTAAAACACGACATGCTTCATTTACCACAGGAAACAACACCATCTCTAATATTTCTTCATCAGTCATGGCTACAGTCTACACAGATAAAACACAAAATGACAAAATTGCCCTTAGTATGTCCCAAGGTTACAAATGGGTTACCTTTCCTTGTGGCATAAGATTGGCTACCCTTCTTGACTCTTCTATAACTGGTAATACCATATTATCAATTTTGGTTTGCTACCTTTTTCATACACATACCTTTCCATTGTTTTTACCTGAAAAAGTCATGTCATTTAAACACATGATTGAAAGACAACACGAAAATCAAAATTAGTAAATTACCATTTCGCCCATTTTTAATAAGAAGGTCAACTACAGGAGAGATGAAAGTGTGAACAGGAAAAGCAGTGGCGAATTCTTTTGACATAACAACTACTAAATCATATCCTGTCAAGTATTCAAGCCTAGAAACGATCACCGGTTTGGAAAATTACCGTTTTGCCCTTTTCTAAACTATTTTAATTTATGATTAAGAAACAGAAACTACTGGAATGGCCCCATTGGAAGCCCAAAATTCTTGATCAATATGTCGATTCTAAATTTTTATAAAGTACAAAATTAAACGAACCTCTTGGGATGTTCCTTCCAAAAAGATCGCTGGATCAACACAGATCCGAATCCATGTTTCATTATCCAAGAGGGGGTGTCAACTAGTATCATCACCAAACTTAGCCACCATAGCACTTTCAGAAGCCTCCTATTATAACAAAAAAACATGAAAAAACAGAAACATGAAAGAAGGAATGGAATGGTTCATTCCATTCAATTAAAATCATAATCAAGGAATGGAATGAACCACTTCAAAAGCCTCTTTTTCCTACAAAAGAATTGAAAATACCTGAACTTTAGCTGTTTTGGTGTAATGTACGCTTGAGTAGACTGTTTAGTGTTGCTTGCTACAAAATCCATTAGTAAAACATTAAAAAAGAAAACAAAAAATCAATAGTCTAAGTGGAAACTAAGGTGAGATGCAAACATCTTACCATTCTTTTCTTTTCTATTTTTTTTTTGGAAACAGAGCCAAAAGATATACAAAAATAATGTCTATTCTTATATGATCAACAAAAGATATATATATATATATATATATATATATATATATATATATATATATATATATATATATATAACATAACAGAGTAGAGCGTACCAGCTGATCTACACCACTTTCACTAGGAAAAAGAGGCTGTAAATGTCCAAAACTCATAAAGATCAGCAAAAGTTTTTTAAAAGTTGGGAAAAATTTGGAAGGAAAAACACTTACAATCGTGAGCCCAATCATCATTTCTTTGTTGATTAAAGGCAGGAAACTTGAGCAGGTCTTAAATTGTTATAAGAATTTCTACCCATTTAACTTGGGAAATTCAGATTTGATAGTGGAATTGCAATGGTTTGAAGCTGTGGGTACTACACATATGGGAAATTGAGCTTTTTAGGATGTTTTCATAGTAATAGATACTTTGGATACAAAAGAATGTTGGATGTGATAACAATTGCATTGGTATTATAACAAATAGGGGTAAAATGGTCAATACGCACCTCATCAATTAAGGAAGCAACGTATGCAACAGATTTAGTTTTGTGGGAAACTTCATGAAGACAACTTCCAACTTGGGATACAACAATTGAAATGCGAGGAAAAACAACCAAAGCCAATACTAATAACAAGAAAAAGATGAATAAGTTTTTATGTTTAAAAAGAATTTAAATTTACTTTTTTTACTTTAACGCTGGTCTTACATGTTAGCTTCCATGATGTGGTAAACATGTTGGATTTGAAGTTGCAACATTTTTAATGATTATCCTCAGAAAGCCTACTAAGAAGTTCCCTTGTTATTGTAACATCAAAGAAAGTTATTTCTTGCAGAAGGGTGAGTGAATCTTGAGTCTTGAAAAAAGGGGCATAAAAGACATTTATGATTTTTACCTGATTAACAAGATGGGTGAACAGATTTTTCTTAAGGTAACAACAATTCTTTCACTTGCAGAAGAAAAAAACCATGTTTGCAATGTTGTGCATACTGAACTGAAAATAAGAAATGAGCAAATGAGTCAAAGTTGAGTTGACTTTAGTTTACAAGAAATGGAGGAATTGAGATTTTGAAATTTTCATACCTAATTATGACAATAAGAAGGATTCCTAGTATGGTTCTATTGACTAGGCTTACTAATTCACCAAATCTTGGCTGAAATGTAATACAAACAAAAATTAATTTTCTTGAAAACAAAATTATTTTGAGGGTAATGAATATGTAGACATACAACCAAGATACTTGATGTGGATGTAATAAAAAAAAGCGATAGTACCACTCATCAGTCTTCCTGCCTCTGGTTTTACCTGTTAAGTGATTAATCAACAACTTAAAATCTTCACAAACAAAATATAATTCAACATTTGAAAGTGACAAAATGATGAAATAGCATATACTCACGTGAGAGAGAACTCTAAAAAACTCACATCTGCAGGCTGGATTTTTCAGATACGAAGTTAGAAAGACCTTAACATGACTTTCACTTAGGCATTATGTCAAACAGTTGGAAGAGTGTAAATTGGAAGTAGAAAGAAACACTAAATTACAGTCATTGTACCTCCAAGCTCAAGATCATTATCTGTCTCTATCTAATGAAGATGTACCTTTAAAGCTTGATGATGAGGAGAAAAAATTAGAAGAGACAATTTAGAAACAAGTGGAGGGAAACTCAGACACCGAACCTATTGAATTTGAGACAAACATTCAACGGTCGAATGAACATGTCAAGTTAGAACGGAATTCAGGAATCACAAATAGAGTTCATAATTACATGATGCAATCGATTCAAGGTGATTCACATATTTATGGCTGAGATATAAGACAAATGATGATTGAAAAAGAAAAAAAGAAAGTGAGAAATTAAACTCTAACGTAAAATATTGTGCAGCTAAACTAAATGTCTAAACCTAACCTAATATATGACTAAGGCAAAGAAAATCAAGAGATTTACCTAAGTCAGAAGGTAACGAAACTACTTCAGATTTTATAGATTTTATGCTGGGGTGTGGTGGTTGTTGGAATCGAAAGCGGCAATGGTGAGTGGTGTCGTCATCTGTTTGAACGGAGAGGGTGAGATTAGGTTAACATAACGAAGGGAACACAAGTAGGAATTTAGATCGGAGTTATGCAAGAATTTTGTGATAAAGCTGATTTGGGAGGGAAGGAGACTTAAGCAATTTCGTGAAACTGGAATTGGGTAGCGCCAATTCTAGCGAGAGATCGGCGATACTAAAACAAAATGTGTGTCCCCCAAATATAATTTCCATCGGTGTTCTCTCGCTAAACATGTTCCAGCTGGAAACAATGGACAATTCTTCCATCTGTCGTTGAACCCTCGCTTAATTTAAGCCTTCAATTTCGACAGATTTGTGAGGGATGGGGCCGGTTGTGTCGATAAATGCTTGTGATATCCATAGCTGATCTCTCGCTAAAGACTCTCTAATATGCTAAATGTTGAATAAATAAAATAATTTTTTAAACCATAGCAGTTCTCTCGTAATTTCCTCTCTATAAGCCTAAAATTTGCTATGGATTTTATCCCTCTCTAAATTCATAGCTGAAACTCAAGTTTCTAGCAGTGAAACTAAAGTGATAATATATATATATATATATATATATATATATATATATATATATATATATATATATATATATATATATATATATATATGGAGAGAGAGAGAGGAATGTCATAAAAACCTTTAAAAATAGGTTTTTAGCACCGACGATACAAAACACATTGTTAAAAAAGTTGACTTTTGACTATGAGTATTTTTTTAGTAAAAAAGGGTGTTTATTTAGGTCCATCCTAAAACTCCATCGATTTGCATATATACATCAAGATTTACATTCATATAACACATACAATATTACCATTTAACCTATGATATCACATCGTTATGATAATATAATCACTTTAGTGGACTACTTGTTACTCACTCTTACCTCTTCAGTAGTCCTTAAATATACAAGAAGTCTTCAATATTAATATCTCCACCATTGAAGTTGAAAATTTGATCAATTTTCATTTGGGTACTATGAAACATATCTTCATTTTGATAATTGCTTTCACGGTTATCTGTCTCAACGCTGACTGTGGAAGCTTCATTTGATAGCAGTTCATCCACAGGGGTATCTTGGTAATTTGAGCCGTTGCTAGCCCCACTATTGAATAGCAAACCATTATGCCCATGAAACTCTTCTAGGTTAAGCCAGTCTGCAAATAAAATCATTGGTAATTTATTGATCTGAGTTTCTGGGATCTGTTGATCCGTGTTAACATACGAACGATTTGCAGTATTTGATGAATCAAAGCTTAGGTTTCTTGACATTGAATTCATATAGGATGATGATGATTCATTATTTCCTGTGTTTGGATTTTGAGCTTCAAGGCTTTCCGATTTTGCTACCCGTTTTTTTAAATAGGAATGCCAGTGATTCTTGATCTCGTTATCAGTCCGGCCAGGTAAATGTTGCGACATTAGAGACCACCTGATTAAATAAATAATAATGTCAGTCTTTCTCACTAAATTCATAATATTTAACGAAATAAATAACTTTTTATTTTACCAAAAATGATTTAAAATGAGAGAAGATTAATTATAACGGTTGCTTACTTGTTGCCTAAAAGGCCATGAAGGGTGAGGATAGTTTCTTCTTCATGCATTGAAAATGCGCCTCTCTTTAAGCCTGGTCGTAGATAATTAATCCACCTTAGTCTACAACTCTTCCCATTCCTTTCCAGACCTGGAATGTGTACGTGTAAACTATTAATTGGTCGGTTGTAGTATCCTTATTAGGGTCGAATAAAAGAAATAGAATCATATTTTCATTTATTTCTATATTATAGCATCCTTCTATTTTTTTTAAAGACTTACAACATTCTCCTTTGAAAATTCTATCCGACTAAATCAAGGTCATTCATATACAAAATGTTTCAATGCTATGAGTAAATAGATTTTTCAAGGTACAATGCGTTAATCATAATAATAATAATAATAATAATAATAATAATAATAATAATAATAATAATAATAAAACCGAAAGTCATATGCTACGATTGGGTTAGATTTTCAAAATCGGATGTTCTATTTAGAAAAAGTTGAAAGTACAATGTTGTAATATAATAAAATGGAAGCATTATGTTATAACAACTTGATAAGCAAAGCTATGTTGTCTTTTTTGGTACATTCATAGAAAATTACCAGCATTGATGGGTACGGCACTCCAACAACCATGACCATAGTTCATTATGTAATCTCTTAGCTTTTGATCCTCATCAGGAGACCATAAGCCTTTCTTATGCTTCAACTTTGTCTTCTCTAATGGCTTGCACCTCATTACTGAAGAATGAAAAGAGAATTTGGTGATAATGAATGTTATTATGAACAAATGACTTTAGATGCCTTGGAATTTAAAGAGAACATTCAGCCGTTTATGTATTAAAAATAAAGATTTTAAATTCTCTTACTCACCATCACAAGTATTAAAAAGAGTTATATGAAGACTTCAATTATTTTAGATTAATCTGAAATATATCAAGACTTTTTAGAGACGTATATTGTGGATGTGTTTATTTCTATTATTATTTTTTGGTTTATTTTCTCATCATTATTAGATGAATTTATGACGATCGGATTACAAGTCCTGAAATAAAATAGGAGCATCACCCGCACAGTTGACAACAAATATTTATTGAACAACTGAACATACATTAAATGTATAGTACCCCCGGGAGTATAGTTAATGGGAATGATACTCGTTATTGAAAGTCTAACAAGTCTTTGCCAATGAGAAACTGGATTTGATTATTTCAACAAAAATTATTAACATCTTTAGTTGAATTTAATTGTTTTTCAACCCATGGGGAGCTTACGAATATAAAAAAATACGTTTAATAAATACAACTACATGATTCTGTGTTCTGAACTCTTGTATGCCAGTGACTGTGGCTTCCTTTTTTCCTTATATATTTCATTGGCCGGTTCCAAAAAATATAAATAAATACAACTACATGAAGTAGCATTTTGATTTAGAGCGTTTTGTTTAAACTAAATACTAGAATCTTGTAGTGTCGAACGAGGTTTTTTGTTCAAAATTAAGCGCTTTTTCAGATGCTAGAAGTTAGAATCTCTCAAACGCTTCCAAACTCTCCGTGTCGAACACGCTCTTAACGTGTGATTTTCTAAATGTTTTATTTTAAAGTCTAATGTTTTTCATCTAAGCCTTTTTTTATTGTACCATATTAATGTCTTCTTTTATATAATACCACATGTGATTTATATTAATATACTTGATTTCAAATTCCATTTTTTGGAGCAAAAAAATATCATTAAAACCTAACCTAACAATATGCTCGACAAAAAAATAATGATAAAATAAAATAAATAAAATTACATGAGCTTTACGGTATTAAGTGGGTTTTCAAGTCACAAAATTTAAGTGATTTTAAGCTTCTTACTTCTATTATAGATAATTTTTTTACAACATCCATATAGGAAACTAGCAAATTTGCTAGGCCAAAAAACCTATTACAAAATAATAAGCGGTTGTTGAAGTCAACAAACCCAATTATTAGAATATTTGCTGTTCGTATTGATGGACCACACCAAAATATAAGTCTTTAATAGAATCAAATATCTCATCTCTTATCAACCTCTTATTTTCAAAAAAAAAAAAAAAAAATTGCATTTTACATTTTCAAATATACCAAATTGTTGTACTAGCGGTAGCCTCCACCAACATTTTCTTTTTAGCAATCAACTTTAACCCATCGATCCTGAAGTGTAATTCATGGAGCGAATTAAACTCCTCCGGTTGAATATCCGACTATTTAAAACCGTGCCCCAAATTGTCATTGCAACTTAGCATCTCACAAAAAGATGGTCCAACTACTCCAACGCCATACTACAAAATAGGAAAAATGATAGAACAGATATCCATGGAACATAAAGACAAATTCAATATAGTCGGTATCTTGTCAAGCAAAGCTCTCCAAATCATAATGTTAGCTTTCATAGGCAAGAAAGAATTTCACCTAGTTTAAAGTTACCATTTGGTAAAGCAACATCGTGATCAATCACTGTCAAGTTTCATAAAAGCGTAAGCACCTGAAATACCAATATCTCGCCACAACGCCACCATTTATCTTCATTGAAAACAGCAACCCCTACCAAAGCATTTAAAGACTCACAAATTGAAGGCTTTCCTCTCTCGTACAGACTAGTCAACCCAGCTCCACCACCACTCACCATCACTTTTCCGATCATCTATGACACAATTTATATGTGTATCCAATTCAAACAACTTAGGAGATCTTTTAGGTAGGATTTTATCTCCTACACTATTACAATCAATGTTGTAAAACTCTCCGAGTTGACCGATTACTCCTCCGAGTACTCGCTATTCGGTCTCTTACCGATGCGAGTTACAGAATCCCGAGTACTCTCTAATCGACCCCTTACTGAACTGAGCAGTGTTGTAAAACTCGGTCAACTCGGTGATTAATATGTATAATATACTTAATTACTTATTATTTAACACACTCGCATATATAATATATATATATATATATATATATATATATATATATATATATATATATATATATATATATATATATATATATATATATATATCTTAAGTTTTCAGTAATTATTCACGAAGTTAAACAATTATGTGTTTTTCAGTTTGAGTATTCACATTTATCTAATTTTATTATATATTTCAATCAACTTATGATTTTAACTAATGATTTTTATATATATAATTTCTTTAAAAATATTTCTACATGAATTACTCAATCTGAGTATTCCCCGAGTACTCTCCGAGTACTCCCGAGTACTCCTGAGTACTCGCTACTCGGTAGTCGATCGAACAGGTACCGAGTAACGAGTTCTATAACCTTCACTACAATAACTTGGTACCAACCTTATTTCCAACCCGTTTCTTAACCACACAATTAGGAATAATAACCTTTTTGTCCAATATGTTAATGGCAAAACAAGCCCACGATCCATCTGTAGGACAAGTCATTGTCTGGTTTAGACCACAATATAAACCATATTTATCCTTGATGACCTTTACATGAAAACAATTTTGATAGTTCAAAAAACGACACCCCCATTTAAGAGCATATAACTAAAAGCAATCATACTGCCACACTAGTACAGAAAACATTTGTTGATGCGGTTAAAATGATTAATTGATACGAGTTTTGAACCGTACCAAAAAATATTGCATAAAAATACCCTATTTATTGGTGCGGTTTCAAAACCGCACAAATAAATAGCCAAAATCACACCAAAAAATAGGTAAAACCGCCTAAAAAAAATAGTCAAAATCACATAAAAATAGTTAAAACCGCCTCAAAAAATAGCCAGAATAGCACAAAAAAATAGCCAAAACCGCCTAAAAAAATAGCTAGTTAAACCACACCAATTAACAGGTTTGCCATTGATGCACACCACGTTACTTATAAAGCTACATTTTCTTGTATTTAGGTTTGTTCGGTGAGTGTTTTTCAATCAAATATTCATTCTTAATTTCCTTTTCTCCAAAAATGATGGTTTCAATCTCGGTAATTTCTTTTTCTCTACCAATTAAAAATCTTTTCTTTTGAAATCACATTTCATCGATGTTGTTTTCAATTTCTTTTTCACCAGCTTAAAAATCACTCTGCAAAAACTAGCTTAATACCCATTGATTGAAAGTCACGGAAGCAAACATTATAAGTCTTTGGATCATTTTTTGTAGATATATCACGGAAGAAGAGGTATCCGTAGAGAGTCAAAACAAGAAAACATTATTAAAAGTTAAAATAGGACATCCATTTACAATTAGTTAGAGAAAAATGAAGTCACAAATACCATTAATGTAAAGAAGATAAATAATAAACATACCTCACATGCGTTTTCAAACATTGAATCGACAAATCTCTAATTATGAGAAGAGGTTGCATCTCCAACTATATATAAAAGAGGGATGATTGAATGAAAATTTTGAAAGAAATTTGGAGGGGTCTAGCGTGGAATGAAAAATTCAAATGAAATTTTTAGAGGAAAGATTAATGGTGCGATTCAATATTCTTTAGTGCGAATTGTTTTTTGGTGCGATTCAATGTTTTTAGTGTGAATTATTTTTGGTGCGGTTGTAATTGTTTTTTAGGGCGCTTTCCATATGATTTTTTGGTGCGATTTTTGGAAACCCCATCAAAAAATGTTATAATTGTGCGATTTTAGAAAACCACACTAATAAAGCTATTTTATGAAAGCTGATCCGTACACAATAATTTTTCTCCATACACAACAATTGGTGCTTTAAAATGTTGTGTTTTACAACTATATAATGTATGAATTGTTGTGTATGGCAAAAAGTTGTTGTGTACGAATCATTTTCCTTATTTTATTGTGCAATTCTTCTATTTTTTTATGCTATTGATATATAAGATGGTTTTTAGAAGGGACTACATCAAAAAAAAAATTAAAACCAGTTGCACTATTAAATGGTTTGTGTACTAGTGCCAATTTCCAATCATATGCTACTTTTAGCAGAGAGAACCGTCTCTGACTTGATCCAATGCAATTTTTTTGTTATTCTCACTTCATCTCCAAAAAAACATTGCAGGAGATGCTTCTAATTGACTTGCAATCGTAACTTGTAACAAAAAAAAAAGCATAAAATAGATACAGACCACCAAGAATCGACTTGATCGAAATCAATATTCCTCCGAAGATAGAGTAGGAACTTTCCAATTAAAAAGTTGTTGGTGTAATATATCAGAATTCGGTTTCCTCCTAACAATACTAGTCACATTTTGATCAATCGATAAATCCAAATATTTAAACCGGAAGTTATTCGGCTCACATCCAAAGTTACTTCCTAATAAGTAAGATTAGGTAACTATACAATCAAATATAGTCGCCTTTTTGGTTTCTTTGATCCAAAAATTATAGTATTATATAAGTTCTATATTACCCAAAAAATAGTTAATATCACAACATCAAGACATTTTTTGGTGGATCCGATGTAATATATCACAAAGTTATCCTTGAATTGATACTTTGTAGTTGCAACATAACTATGCATTAAAGAAATTTCGCCCATTCATTTTATTAGGGCGGAGAGAGTAGTGTCGCTCATACTACTACTTTTCCCAATCATACACATGTTTTTATATTATTTAACAACTAAATTTATAATAAACATAACATTATGTATTACATTTGCGCCATTTTTCTCACCCCTTGATAATACTCCAAAACTGTATACAACGAAAATCTTTGTTGTTTTTTTGGTGGAAAATTTCAAGAGAAGTGTTTAAAAGTAAAGTCTTAGGAAGAACGCATGGTAAACTGGACATTACACCCTAACC